CCCTGGTGTGTGTGTGCGTGTGTGTGTGTGTGTGTGTATGAGGACAGAGGGAATCAAGGGGGGGGGGCCCAAGGCAGCACACACTCACCCCTGCCGTATGTGATGTGTTCCCTTGTGTTTCTCTGAACCCTTCTGCAGGTCGTCCACACCATCAACATTGTGGAGCGCAGTGGGGAGGCTTTCCTCCCTGCATGGATAGCAGCCAAGGCGCAGACATTCGAACAGCCCCACACAGCTGCTGTCCGCCAGGCGCGCCAGGATGCAGTGCGCATCAGAGAGGCCCTGGTGGACATGTTTGCCCAAACCCCATAGTAGGGTCGCCTGGGTCTCCCCAGACTACTCCCTCCTATCCCCTCCCCTCCCCCACCCCCCCCCCTGCCCCCCCCCCAATAGTAAAGCATCGGGTCAAAGCACATCAGCCATCATCGTGACTGTTCATCGGGTGCGTCGGGCTTAGTTAGGGTTTTTCTTTTTAGTTTAGGCTAGGGTTTAGGCCACCATCGCCTGTCCCGAAAAACAGCGAAGAGGATTCAGGGTTCGTGTGGAAGGCTCAAGTCAGCGTACCTGATTCCAGTCGTCTTCGAGGGATCAACTGGCTGTTCCTCTCCTGAGGCCCGGAAGGACCAAAGGATTGAGGTTGCCAGCTTTGCCGTCATCTTCCGTCGAGGAATATCCTGGCTGTTCCTCTCCTGAGGCCCGGAAGGACCAAAGGATTGAGGTTGCCAGCAACACTACCCAATTGTCCTCTCTGCGTCTAGACTATGTTTAATAATCTTTAGTGTGCATCTTTTAACCGTTCTTGCTTGTTTGTTAGCTATGTAAATATAGTTTGTGGTTTAAATTTTACTGAAAAGTCTCAGTATTTATTTATGCGCCACAAACCAATGACCACTTAAAAAGGGCCCCCCTGGTGATAGATTAAAGAATTTGTTGTCCACAGTTTGTAACCCTGTTAAATTTAAGTGGCTAATCGGCATCTCAAATCATTTCTTACAGTTACTAGAGTAACACAGTAACCAACACAAGAATCAACTGAAACATAGAACTTTTTATTTACAAGGGGGAGGGGGAGATTCAGCGGGGACGGGGGGGGGGGGGGAGCTACTGGGACAGGTGGCTCCTGCGAGTGCTCCTTCGGGGGCGGAC